AATTACTTTGTGGGTATTATAACATCTTTGAAGTGTACTTTTTTTTCACTGAAAAGCTATGTGTATTTCTTCTGTAATGTTGTGGTTCCTTTCCTTTGCCTATTTCTCTGTTGCATTTTCCTGACTTGTACATAAGAGATCTACATAAAAGAATTTATTCTTAGTCATTGGTTCAAAAATACTAAATACTTTTTCCCTGTTTCTATTTTGACCACATTTACAGAATGTTCAGAAATTTTAGTTCTTATGAATCACATTTACTAATCTTTTTTTTTTTTTTTTTTAGGATGGGGTTTCACCATGTTGGTCAGGCTGGTCTTGAACTCCCGACCTCAGGTGATCTGCCCACCTTGGCCTCCAAAGTGCTTGGATTACAGGCGTGAGCCACCACGCCCGACCTACTAATCTTTTCTACTGTGGTTTCTGGATTTTTACATTGTAATGTTATTAATCTCCCCAAACATGTTTATCTGCACCCATCACCAGTATGGATATAGTTTTGAACTGTGTGGTGCTCAACTACCAATCACAATAGTTCAAACAAGGAATTGTTTCTAAAGATTTTGTCATAACATATAGAGGTTGACAACTGAGCAACTGAGTGAAAAAGCTTAGGTTTTCAAGTTGTCTTTTTTTTTTTTTTTTTTTTTTGAGACGACATCTTGCTGTCACCCGGGCTGGAGTGCAGTGGCCACCATCTTGGCTCACTGCAGCCTCTGCCTCCCAGGCTCAAGTGATTCTGCTGCCTCAGCCATCCTAGTAGCTGGGATTACAGGTGCACACCATGATGCCTAGCTAATTTTTTGTATTTTTAGCAGAGACAGGTTTTTGCCACGTTGGCCAGGCTGGTCTCGAAATCCTGACCTCAGGTGATCTGCCCATTTTGGCTTCCCAAAGTGTTGCGATTACAGGCGTAAGCCACTGCACCCGGCCTCAGGTTGTCTTATGTATGGATCTTATTGCAATATAATAAATGATGATCTACACTTAAATTGATTGAACAACTTCACTGAGAAGTAGTTGTATCTTTAGGTTAAATAGAAAGTAGATAAAAGTACTACATAATAAATTGAGGGCCACAGATATCTCCAACTGATTTTCTCATTTGGAAGAAAACATAAACTTTATTTCTTTTAAAGTACAGGCCTTCTCAATTATAAAAAATTTAAAAGTTCTCCTACAGCAAATGTTTAAACTGAAACCTAAAGGATAAGAAGTAGATAGACAAAGGATGTCACTTGGCCCAGGATTTGAAATGCAACTAGTGGCAGAAGCATAAATCCTGAGTCTAAGCTGGGCGTGGTGGCTCACGCCTACAATCCAAGCTCTTGGGGTGAGGCAGGAGGATCACTTGAGGCCAGGAGTTCAAGACCAGCCTAGGCAACGTAATTGAGGCCCCCCGCCTCACTGTCTCTACAAAAAATTTAAAAAAATTAGCCAAGCATGGTTGCATGCACCTGTAGTCCCGGCTACTCTACAGGCTAACTGGGAAGATTGCTTGAACCCTCAAAAATCTTGAGCTATTGAACTCAAGACTGCTTGAGCCCTTAAGAGTTCAAATTTGCAGTGAGCTATGATCATGACACTGCAGTCCAGCCTGAGTGACAGAGACCATCTCAAAAAAAGAAAAAAAAATTCTCTGATTCTGAATGCCCATTTCTAAATGGGAAGGTGGGGGGAATTGATTTCCTCCCATACTTTTTTTTCCCTATGTTTTCAAAGTAAATTTTTCTTCCCAAAAAGGTTTCAATGGGCGGGTGCGGTGGCTCATGCCTGTAATCCCAAGACTTTGGGAGGGCAAGGAGGATGGATCACAAGGTCAGGAGTTCGAGACCAGCCTGACCAACATGGTGAAACCCTGTCTCTACTAAAAATACAAAAATTAGCCGGGTGTGGTGGTACACGCCTGTAATCCCAGCTACTCAAGGGACTGAGGTGGGAGAATCACCTGAACCCAGGAGACGGAGGCTGTAGTGGGCTGAGATTACGCCACTGTGCTACAGCCTAGACAGCAGAGCGAGACTCTATTCTCAAAAGAAAAAAGGTTTAAATGTCCTAAAATTACTTTTGCACCAACTAATACGATAGCCAAGCAACCACAACTTATTATAAGAGTAAAAGTTCTTGTCCTTGGCCACAGAATTCTATTATTAAAATAAACATTTCTTACTGTGACGCAAAAGGACTTACTTTTAGAAAACACATCTATCTTGCATAAATTCCATATGTTTCACATTTTAAAAGATTTATCTAAGTCTAATGTCAAGCTTATTTTTAGGTAGGATTGTGCTGTTGACTTTCCTGTTCAAAAGTAAAGTTGGAGCTGTTTCAAAGAGTAACTTTATTCTGCTTGCCTGTGGCTGTTTGTACCATAGAAAGCAAATTTGCCAGGTGTGGTGTCTCATGCCTATAATCCTAGCACTTCGGGAGGCCAAGACAGGAGGATCACTTGAAGCCAGTTTTGAGACCGCCCAGGGCTACAAAGCAAGACCCCATCTCTACAAAAAAATTTAAAAATTAGCCTGGCAGCTGGGCATGGTGGCTCACGCCTGTAATCTCAGCACTTCGGGAGGCCAAGGTTAACGAATCATCTAAGGTCAGGAGTTCAAGACCAGCCTGGCCAACATGGTGAAACCCCGTCTCTACTAAAAATTCAAAAATTAGCTGGGCATGGTGGTGGGTGCTTATAGCTCAGCTACTTGGGAGGCTGAGGCAGGAGAACTGCTTGAACCCAGGAAGTGGAGGTTGCAGTGAGCTGAGACCATGCCATTTCACCCAGCCTGGGCAAAAGGAGTAAAACTCCATCTCAAAAAAAAAAAAAAAAAAAATTAGCCCGGCATGTTAGCACACACCTAGTGCTTGGCTGCTTGGGAGGCTGTAGTGGGAGGCTCACCTGAGCCCAGGAATTCCTGGCTGGAGTGACCTAACTGTGCCAGTGTACTCCAGCCTGGGTGAGACCCAAGGGCAGCAGCAGATTAGAAAACATGGCATTTCTTCTATACTGGCCCATCTTTGTCAAACATGTAGCCTGCTTATGAAGAAGACAGAATTGAAATCAGTATTAAAATTAATTAAAAGACCAACCTTACAAATCAGAATCTAAAAACACTGGGCCACAAACGCAAATATTATCTTGAAATTTCTTCTTTATAAACACATTTTCCAAAGAAGGAAACGTAAAATGTTCAGAGAAAAGGTTCAGATACCAATTTAACAATGTGATCTATTTTCAAAATACACAGGTAAAAATTTTTTTTGAGACAGAGTTTTACTCTTGTGGCCCAGGCTAGAGTGCAATGGGGTGATCTTGGCTCACCTCACTGTAACCACTGCCTCCCTGGTCCACGCAATTCTCCTGCCTCAGCCACCCGAGTAGTTGGGATTACAGGCATGTGCCAGCACGCCCAGCTAATTTTGTATTTTTAGTAGAGACAGAGTTTCTCCATGTTGGTCAGGCTGGTCTCGAACTCCTGACCTCAGGTGATCTGCCCACCTTGGCCTCCCAAAGTCCTGGGATTACAGGTATGAGCCCCCACATCCAGCCAGCTGTTTTCTTTAATGATTGTATAGAGATAATAGTACTATAATAAATAAGTTAAATATTAGAAATATCATAAACGAAACAAAGATAATTTCTGACCATCTATAACTTTTTTTTTGTCTTAGGTCCAGGAACATCTATAACTTTTTCTAGTTGGCATTGTTTTGATTGCCTAAGAGTACTTAATGGAAGCCTGCTGTTCCAAGTGAAACAATATTTCAAGGATAAGAAAAGGTGTATAAATTGAATTTCACTTAAAAGTTTTAATAATAAAAGTGATTCATAAAGGTTGACTAGGCTGGGCACAGTGGCTCACGCCTGTAATCCCAGGACTTTGGGAGGCTGAGGAGGGCAGATCCTTTGAATCCAGGAGTTCTAGATCAGCCTGGGTAATGTGGTAAAACTGTCTCTACAAAGAATACAAAAAATTAGCCAGGTGTGCTGGTGCATACCTGTGGTCCCAGCTATTCGGGAAGCTGAGGTGCAAGGATCATCTGAGACTGGGGTGAGGATGCTGCAGTGACTGAGCCAAGATCGTGCCACTGCACTCCACTTGGGTGACAGAGTGAAACCCTGTCTAAAAAAAAAACAAAAAGAAAAAAAACACAAATTGATTAATGATTTCTCTGACCTTTTATCAGCTTTAAAAATATCTAGGCTGGGTACGGTGGCTCACGCCTGTAATCCCAGCACTTTGGGAGGCTATGGAGGGTGGATCACTTGAGTTCACGAGTTCGAGACCAGCCTGACCACCATGGTGAAATCCTGTCTCTATTAAAATTAAAAAAAAAAACAAAAAACAAACTAAGGGCTACTTATGTAACCCAGTTTGTCAATGATTAGCTCTGTAATCTGAGGGCAAATACCTATCCTGAGATTTATCTCTGAAATAAATCACATAATTTGTAAGGTTACTTCCAACTCTAAAATTTCATGACTATGGCCGGGCGCGGTGGCTCAAGCCTGTAATCCCAGCACTTTGGGAGGCCGAGGCGGGTGGATCACGAGGTCAAGAGATCGAGACCATCCTGGTCAACATGGTGAAACCCCGTCTCTACTAAAAATACAAAAAATTAGCTGGGCATGGTGGCGCGTGCCTGTAGTCCCAGCTGCTCAGGAGGCTGAGGCAGGAGAATTGCCTGAACCCAGGAGGCGGAGGTTGTGGTGAGCCGAGATCGCGCCATTGCACTCCAGCCTGGGTAACAAGAGCGAAACTCCGTCTCAAAAAAAAAAAAAAAATTTCATGACTATTTGTATTTTACTAAATACATGCTACTTGATTTCTTTGCATTGTAGCTATCTAAATCAGGAAGGATGCATAGTAAATAAAATGCCTTAGTCCCACTGACAAACAGAAAAGAAACACACACACATACATATTTTAGGAATATATATTTTTAAAAGGATTCAGTAATCTTTTTTTTTTTTTTTGACAGAGTTTTGCTCTTGTTGCCCGGGCTGGAGTGCAATGCAACCTCTGCCTCCCATTTTCTTTTTTTTTCTTGTCTGTCAATGTACATTTTATATTTAAAAAGTCAAAACAGGGGCCGGGCGCGGTGGCTCAAGCCTGTAATCCCAGCAGTTTGGGAGGCCGAGGCAGGTGGATCACAAGGTCAAGAGATCGAGACCATCCTGGTCAACTCGGTGAAACCCCGTCTCTACTAAAAATACAAAAAATTAGCTGGGCATGGTGGCGCGTGCCTGTAATCCCAGCTACTCAGGAGGCTGAGGCAGGAGAATTGCCTGAACCCAGGAGGCGGAGGTTGCGGTGAGCCGAAATCGCGCCATTGCACTCCAGCCTGGGTAACAAGAGTGAAACTCCGTCCCAAAAAAAAAAAAAAAAAGGCAAAACAACAATGGGGTGAGAACAGGAAGCCACTACACAAGTGGCCAAGAGTTCAGATCCTTGGAGGCCGTCTTTGGAGATTTACTGGGCTCTCATTCTGGCAGCAGCACAGACCGCGTGGACATGGGGCACCGTCCCCACACCTGAGCTTTCACCTACACCCACCTGAGCTGCGGCAAGGACTGACGGGTACACGTGAAAGCAGTCAGCCTGCCCGGCACTCGTTAAAGGAGAGCTCTAAGGAACACAGCACACAGGCCTGAGGCAGCTTTTACCCATGCTTTTTTAACTTACATAATTTAAAAAAAAATGGCCTTGTCTGATTTAAAAAACCTCAGCTGTTGCAGGTCAGGCCTGCCTGAACCCTGCTAACCAGGACTGGGGCCAGCCGGGCCAGCCCCCGAGCGCCACCCGGACTGCACGTGAATGCCATTAAGCACTCTCTGGCCCTGTGTTTCACATGGATTAGGTGGAGCCTGTGACCGCCTTCTGAGAGGAGGAAATAAAGGAATTTCTAGTAAATGAACATGATGTTTCCAGTATTCTCTGTGTGGCTACAGTAACTGTCAACACTCACCCAGGAGGACTGTGTGGCAAGGTTTAATTGCAATGGCATCTGAAAACGTGTGTGGCATCATGCGTCAGCTATCGTCAGTGCCTTTATTGCCGTTGGGTTTGTGACTGTTGATACAGTGACGACCTCAGGAGCAACAGGTGGGTTAAAAAACTGTGGCTGGGCAGTTCTTTCGAGGACAGGGACGCCGTGAGGAGCAAGGAGGATTCAGAACCTGATGAACGTGGCATCGATCTGCCGCATGGAGGGGAGGGTGAGCATGACCTTTCTCCGGTACTGGGGGTCCTTCTGCAGGGGGTTCCGCTCCAGGTACACCGTCCCCAGGCTCCCTTCAGCTCGTCGAGGTCGCTCCAGCTCTCAAGAATATTGTCGTTCATCCAGAATTCTTGCAGCCCTGTTAGATGGCTGATGTTTTCAATCCTTTTGATTCTATTTGATGCAATGTCCAACATGATGAGTTTGTTATTGTTCTCCAGGCCCTTGATAAACTCGATGCCGTTGTGGCTGAGGTGCAGCTCCCGCAGGTTCACCAGGTTCTGCAGACCCTTGATCTTGGTCAGCCGGTTGCTCTGCATACTGAGGACCGTCAGGTTGGTGAGCGCATCCAGATTCTGAAGTTCAGTAATTTTGTTTTTCCCCAAAAACAAACTCTCCAGATTGGTTAATGTGTCAATATTTTCGATTGCCTGGATGCAGTTAGATCCCAGCTCTAGCATCTGTAGTTGATGTAAGTTGCTTAAGTTTTCAATTTTACTGATTTTGTTGACCAAGAAGAGTTTTTTCAGTTGTGTCAACTTGTCAATCCCTTAGATGTTTCTCAGCAGATCAAAAGAAATATCTAGAATCTCCAGCTCTGTTAGCACCTTCAGATTCTCAATCTTCTTGATCTGGTTGTTGTAAAGATCCAGCTCTCGTGTAGCTCCTCCAGATTTTCAATGCCTTTAATTAAATTTTGGCGGAGGCAGAGAGCCTTCACTTTCTTCAGTACCTCAAATCCTTCAATCTTCCCAATGCGATAGTGATTCAAATCAACATCCTCTGCATCTCTGTCCAGTTGATGGTTTCCATGTCCATAGGTAGCTCGTGTTCTTCTTCTGGGTCCTCCTCCCCATCCTTCAGGCTCTGTTCACTGAGGTCAGCCACGATGCCACTGCTGTGCTTCTTCCCTTCTTCATCGCCAGATTCTTCAGACTCGACCCGCCTGTCAACCTTTTTGATATCGGGACGGGAGGAAACCCCTCCGCCTCCCATTTTCAAGTGATTCTCTTGCCTCATCCTCCCAAGTAGTTGGGATTACAGACATGCACAACCATACCCAGCTAATTTTTTGTTTAGGAGAGACAGGGTTTCACCATGTTGGTCAGGCTGGTCTTGAACTCCTGACCTCTGGTGATCCATCTGCCTTGGCCTCCCAAAGTGCTGGATTATAGGTGTATGGCACCAGGCCCGGCTGAATAACCTTTTTAAAGCAAAATCAAAATTAGCCTGGCTAAACAATCTTTTTAAAGCAAAATCAAAGTATGGCTACAGAAGGAGAGGAAAGATCTAAATTGTAGTCAACACAGATTGGTTACTTAAGGCCTTAGATTTGCTTAAGGCCTTATACCATATCACAGCACAAAAACATAACCCACCCCACCTGGCTCTCTTAAGGTACATAATACATCAGATTATGCACATTCATTAAGTGGCATCATATCTGTATACTAGACATGGGTGTGAATTGAGGGTTTCCTTGGGTCTCTTTCAAGGACTCTCCTCTTCAGTATTTCTATTTCCTCATTTTCCTTCTATTTATGAAGAACTGTTATTTTTACATTTAATGCCCAATTTTCACCACTTGCTCATGTCAGTTCTCTGAAATGTTACTGCCTATGAACCGTGACATGTACTCTTTGTAACAGAAGCAGAAGTTAAAAGATGTAGACATCACACAATTCAATGGTTATTTGAAAAATAGAAAACAATGGTAAAAATTCAGTTGCCAACTTAGAGGATTTTATACATTATGTTCTATTTTCCATGGTCTGAAATTATTTCTCAAGAAAATGGATTTTATTTCTAAACCTTTACTATCTTTGCCAGAAACAGAAAAACTAGTTTTCTCTTCGACAAAATTGTCCCAGGAGAAGAACACAAATACTTTTCCAAATTAGAGCATAAGTCTTCCTTAAATGTCCCAGTGTGACAATTAGGATAGAATAGCAGTCTTTTTAATGTCATAAAGGCTATTGTTAAGATGGTGGTTTTGGCCGTTTTGCAGATGGTCCATCGAAGTTAGTTATGTTATCAATGTTATTTTCATCTTCTGCATCATCTTCATCATCACCTTTTAAAATAAATATTTATTGTATGACAATATGTTCTGTGGTTGAAAGAAATATATATAGCTAAAGTGGTTGAGAGTAAAACCATTTCACTTTAGGGACAAATAAAACCATGCACATTTTAGATTAAAATGGTTTTGAGAATTTCAGTGTTCAAAATCTTTATTTTCTATCACTTTCCTTTTTGGAGATATCAATTCATTCATCATAAAATCCACTCTTTTAAAGTGTACAGCTTAGTGGTTTTTAGTATATTCACTAGCTTGTGCAATCATCACCACTATCTAATTCTAGAACACTTTCATCATTCCAAAGATAAATGATATGCCCATTAGCAGTCACTTTCCATTCCCCTCAGCCTTTGGCAACCACTAACCTACTTTTTTTCCCCTTAATTTTTGTTAGAGACAGGGTCTTGCTATGCTGCCCAGGCTAGATTCACACTCCCAGGTTCAAGTGATCCTCCTGCCTCAGCCTCTAGAGTAGTTGGGACTACAGGTGCCCACCACTGCACCCGGCTTGCTAATCTACTTGATCTCTATGGATTTGCCCATTCTGTACATTCATATAAACAAAATCATATAACATGTACCCTTTTGTGTCTGGCTTTCACTTAGCATAATGTTTTCAAGGTTCATTCATGTTGTAGCATATATCAATACATCATTACATGTTATTGCTAGTAATATTCCATTGTAGGGATATACCACATTTTGTTAATGCACTCATCAGTTGATAGATATTTGCATTATTCCTATTTTTTAAAATTATCATTATTTTTAGAGATGTGGCCTCACTTTGTCCTCCAGCCTGGAGTGTGGTGGAGCAATCAGCCCACTGCAGCTTTAAACTCTTGGGTGCACGTGGTCCTCCCACCTCCTAAAGGTGTAATGCCAAGCCCAGCCAATTGTTGTTTCCACATTTTAGCCACTATAAATAATGATGCTATGAATATTCATGTGTAAGTTTTTGTGAGAACATGTTTCCAGTTCTCTTGAGGGCTACCAGTGGAACTGCTGGGTCATGTGATAACTTCAGGTCAACTTTTTGAGGAGCTACCGAATTCTATTTCCCAATGGTTACACCGTTTTACATTTCCACCAACAATGTACAAGGTCTCCAATTTCTTCACATTCCAGCCAACACTTGTTGTTGTTCTTTTTGAGTATAGCCAACATCCATATTATCAAGATGTAATTCCCAAGATGGAAGGAAAGTACAGTTTAAGTTTTTCTTAAAGAATTGTAAATCCTGACTCCAATATCTAGTTCTTGGGTTTTTTAGTTCAGGACAGTTAAAATGAACCTGTCTAGTTTTGCATTCGAGACAATTTAAAAACATTAATGCAGTTAAACTTCATGTTTCAACTTTCAAACTGCACCTACAGAACTGGAATATAGCAAGAGAGTCCCTGGGAGTCAATTCGTGTTAAAATTAAGTCTGTCTCAATCTTCAGAACCTGTTCATACTCTGCGATAGACTGCACTCTTCCAAACATGTTTGTAGTTTCACACCTGGTAAAACTTTCTATTTTCTTCAACACCCAGCTCAAAAGTCTTGTCCTCTCTGAACCCTTCCTGGGGTCTCTGGGTTTGCAATAGTTACAGAGGGCCATAGAATCACTTTCACTCTTAGTAAGAGTGTCTGCCTGTCTAATCCCCTTGTGTTTAACGAGGGCAGAAACTCAGTCACATTCACCTCATTCTTCCTCCAGGGCTCAGCTCAGGGTTTAGCACATAATAGTAGGCATTTGGCACTTTTTCCTTTTTCTGTGTGTGATATAAATCAAAAAGTGGTAAGAGTCGTGGAAATGCTTGAGTAGAAGCTGTCCAAATAAATATGTTGAAAACGCCAACAATTTTTATTTTTTAAATTTATTCTTAAAATAATAATATAAATGGGGTCTCGATATGTTGCCCAGGCTGTTCTAGAACTCCTGACCTCAAGTGATCCTCCTGCCTTGGCCTCCCAAAGTGTTAGGATTACAGGCGTAGGCCACCTGCCTCGACCCACCAAAAATTTTTAGATGCAATTCTTCTTCCCTCGAGGCTCACTTTGACCAAGTCTGTCACTTTACACAGGCTCCCCAAGCAGATTTCCCCTGGGCGCCCGCCCCGCCCTCCTGTCGTTGCAGCACAGTCTCAGAGCTCACCATCCAAGGCCTCGTCTGGAGCCGCCGCCACCCGGTGCTGCACTTCCCCCTGTACCAGGGGGCCGAATAATTCGGTTACCAGCTCCTTCATCTGGGCCACGCCAGACAATAGGCCCTGAAAAGGGTCGCCGCCACCCGGCGCCTCACAGGACACCCGCAACTTCTGCGGCTTCCCTTCCTGCCCGACGTACTCTCCCAGCAGCTCCATGGCGACCGCTAAGCTTCCAGAACGCGACAAGTGAAAGCGCCACCCGGAGGCGGAAATCAGCCGCCGACTGGC